AGCAGTGCATGAACTGGTTTGCGGTGCCACCTGGTATCTGTCATCAGTAACTTCATACTCAAGACCTTTGAATCTGGACAAACAAATCAAAACTTTGAATCTGGATTTTTTATTTTTTTTAGCAGGCTTTAATTCAAACTTTAATTTTCCAATTAATTAACCAACCAAACATAATCATCAATGACCCTGTGGATGTTTTGCTTGGTGTGGTGATTGGGTAGTAACTTCAATGTTAATCTTACATTGGCCACCTATCTACACAGATAGGCCAATGTAAGATTTTACATGTAAGATTTTCTCTTCACAATTTTCTTCAGGCATTTTGACTGGAATGATTCTGAAGAAAGAAAACTTGTGACCGTACCAATAATGCTACGTTCTTGTCACATTTTTTACTTAAACAGTTTTCAAATAAAACTAAACAAATATCTTCATCTGTTCTCCTTGGGAATCTTAAGCCTTAATTGTACAAGGGTGCATAAAAATCAAACATGTCCCATAACACACACAGACATCTGCTATTTCTCTGCGTCGGTCTTCAGTTTAACAAGCCTCCTTTGTGTAGATTTTATCAGAGGGGTTTTACATGCAGCTGCTTTAGGGCACCCAGTATATGTGTGTGTGTGTGCGTGCGTGTGTGTGTGTATGTAGACGCAAGATTTACAGCTGGAACAAGACTCCAGTTGTTGACCGCAATCGAACGCACACAGTCACACACGCTTTCCATGAAAAATATCCTTTGGTGACTAACTGAGTGACTGCTGTAGAATCATAAACATGAGGCTGTTTGTGCACTGGCCTCTCTCTCTCTCTCTCTGTGTGTGTGTGTGTGCTTTGCATAATGCTTCAGTAAAGAAGCATTAGAGAACGACTGACTTTCCCAGCTCCTTCTATTTTTTTTTCTTCTCTTTGCTTCCCTCTAAGTGAGCTTTAATTACACTTAAAGTGCTGTTGCTAGGTACAAAATAATGGCTTTGATGGTGTGAAATTCTCTCCATTCTTTCCTTTAACATTGAAGAACAATTAAGTATTTAGCAGCAGTGAAAGAACAACTAAGTGATGTTAAATAATAGTACACCATAGGGAAGAGCAGCAGAATTAAAGAGAACTGGCATGAGCTCAGTTCACTTGATTTGTAGACAGAAGTCAAAATCAATAGAAGATGCAATAAAGTGGATGTTTTGCTTTGTAAAGCCAGAGGTTTTTGATCAACATTGAGAGTTAAAACAAATCTAATATGGCCGCCAGGTACCACTAGCCAGAAGTTTGTAACTGCTATTGCCATTTTCCCTCACTTTTCTTGACAAAACACTTCGCAAAAACGTCAGTCTTAGAGTTAAGTTAAAAATTCATTGACAAAAATGTCTGTTTTCGACAGCTTCAGAGTAAAATTAAAATTATCATTATCGTCATAATCAGCTTTCTTGGTAAAGATTGTATTTACGAAGAGGTTTGTAAGAACTCAAACTTTACATAATGATAGATAATCTTAGAGGAAACAGTGATAAATGAAACACTATGAAGGTGTACATGTACAAAAAATAGGACAAAAAAGGGAATGCAGCTAGTGATATTAGAAACATGCTTATTTTGTTCAACAAAATAAGCTACATTCCGATCATAAGAAAGGCAGTCCGGGCCTTTAGCGGCTGGTTTTTGAAAATAATGCTCTGTAGCACTGACCTGAAGCTAAAAATCTAATCAGTTTGTATCCAGAATGTGTGTGGTCTGCACAGATGTTTGCATACATTAATATCAGTTTTTATTTCAGAAATAGTAGAGTGTTTGGAGAAAGTATCTTTAGTGCTGCATCAGTGCAAAAATGTTGATTAGGTACCCTTTACTTGTATTAAGTATGGACTTTTTATGATTACATTTTATGAGATCACTATTAAATTCACTTTCTTCCTCAGCCTTGTTCGGCTTTTCCAATGTCAGCACTTTCAGCATGATGCTTGGTCTTTATCAAGACCCGTTAACACAGTTAAAAAGTTTGTGGCGCATTCAGAAGCTAAACAGCCAGATATTTTCCCGAATCAGCGCACCAGTTAACAATGCGATTTAACAATCGCATTGGTGCATGCTGTTGGGAATTTTATCTCTGTGAAGATGAACAACAGCAATTCATGTTTCAGATTACGTCTTCCCGGAGTGGAAAGACAGCATCTGCATAATACTGGGTAATCAATTGTTTTGGCCCAAAATATATTGAAAGACTCTAATTAGAAGATAAACTGGGAAATTATAGGACATGAACTGGAACTGAACAAATGAGTTCAAGAAAAGACGTTGCAGCAGCGTGTTATTAGAATATTTATATCTGACTGTAGAACGGAGAGCCTTAAATAACTATCAAAATCCCCAGTGTGCAAACACACAAAACACACTCTTATGGAACAACATGAATTGGAGCATGGTGGAGCCCAGGCATGGTTTGCTTGGCTAAAATAGGAGTGGGCAGCACAAGGCCCATCATTGTGGGATTCAGCTGCAGACTGGCAACAATTCAAACACACACACTGAGGGGCTGGCATTATCACACACAGTCATGTCCAGGCACACAGGCATCTCTATAGAGAAAAGACAACCAAAACAAACAAATGTAAAGCTATGATGCAGATTAGTATGGACACTAAAAGGAACAAAGTCCCTAGATGCAATATGGATTCATGTGAGTTTCTAATTGTTAGTTACAGCACTGATCATTCAGTGATCATTCTCTGCTTTGTCATTTAGCAAACTGTTTTTCATCAAAGGCAGCTTGCAAGTTTGGTGCAGCACTCAAGGTTTGGTCTGTGTGAAAGTTTAAATTTTGTATAATAAATAGAGTTTGAGTCCTTTAATGAGCCAATAAGTGACTTAATTAGCACGCTCGCTTTCCTTTTGATTAGCTTCCAATGGGAGTCATTAAAGTTTCATACAATCAAATCTAATACAGCATTTAGGATTAAAAAGAAATAAATTTGGTCTTGGGTATGATATCATGCTGCAACATCAGTACACCATTAAATTTGGATCGGCTGGCAGCACTGCTTGTGAGTTTCTGCATTGCTCTGGCTGAAACCATCTCAACAAGCAGCTGTAAGAAAGAAACCCATGATTTCCTCCCCAATATATCTATTGATTTTGATCAAGTTTTGTCGTACAGAAAGGTCAGCTGGTGCTTTGCTTTCCATGAAATGTTGCTGCAACCTGGAGACACACTCAGACTCCTCCAAATCCTCCAAATTACATACGGAGCAGACTGCTGTGAAAACACAGGAAGTGATGAATTTTTAAGGACGTGGCAGGATTTACAGTAGTATTTTTACAATAGACGCATTGGATCTTATAAAACCATCTTCAGAACGAAGCGTGATGAAGACGATTCACGCTGTCAACAGAGATTTCCGTGCCAGCTGTAAATTATCGCCCAGGATGTCAGATTCAGTGATTTGCAGCAACAACCTTCCAATTTTCTCACTTGTTGATGATACTCCCTGAAAACAAAGACGATGTTTCCTTCTCTATAGCAGGACGGAAGCAGAAACCTGCCACTGATGTAGGGTTGCTCTGCGGATTGGCAGAAGTGATGTGAGGGGATTAATGAAGAGAAATGTATATATATATATATATATATTTATTGTTAAGTAGGAAGAAGGAACTGGCATCAGAATTTCTTTCATCTCAAATGAGATTTCTCAAATTTTCCACAGCCCAGTGATTCTAACAGGTTTGACCAACATGGCGGGAATGAAATGTGGGAGTGATATCGAGTCTTATTCTGCTTTTTCAACAAATCGCTTATTGTGTAATTTACTACAAATAGCCAAAGTAATAATCAGTTCAATAGTCAATGGACTGAGGTCATTTATTACTCCAGGCATATGTGAAAGTCATTCTCCAAAAAAATAAAATAAAAATATCTTTCCCACTTTAGTATTTTGTATGTAACCAGATAATAAGGTGGCGTGTGAAGGTCAAATTTAGGCGGCTCTGGTATAAATGCTACAATGTCTATTTGTTCTCTTTTAGGTGGTTATATTTGCCACATTGTTCACAGTTTGCCTTCTCGCTTTTGTTCCTCCAAATGCAGTTAAAAATATAGTCAAAGCCGCTGCGATGTGATTTATTGTTGAATTGACTCGTGTGCGGTTATCCGACCGTGGTTTGAACTGCTCAGCTCGTTATGTGACTGTTGCGGATTTGGCGTACACGGCGGCAAAAAAATTAGACGGAACAATTACATCTGACTGAGAGCTGCGCTGCAGACATCAAGCGGTTGACTTTAGTTTCACTCTTTGACTTTACAAACTTTTAATGAAGAGCCGCCCCGGGGAGAACACAATCAGACTTTCATGAGATCAATTTATGTATGAAATATCAGAGCCCTCCTGAGTGCTCTGGGGGTAGATTAGATTAGATTGGATAAAAATTATGAACGTAAATCGAAACATGTAAAAAGTAAAACTGATTGACCATAACAATCAACTTTCCCATTTATGGAACAAACTTTTAATCCGGTGTTAATTTTCTTGCTGTAGTCTTTCTATTACATAAATGAGCGTAAAACTGTAATTACAGCTAATATTTAGCAGTAATTCAGTCATTTACCCTTCAGTTATTGGGGTGTGGTGGAGAGCGTAATCTCGTCTGCCGTCAGTTTTGTTCTGGACACGGCTCTGAAATCTCTGGAGATGATTGTATTGGAATGGATTCTTCATAAAATATAAGAAAAACATGATGAACAACCCTGAGCGTCACCTTCACTAGACAACAGAGGGTCTTCAGTCAGAGGCTTTTCCAGAAACCCTGTAAGACTGACTGTTACAGGGGGTCTGTCGTGACTTATTCAAGAAATTTTTATGAGCTGCAGCAATGCTTAATTTTGCCAAAAAGATATGTCTTTGCTTTTTACTCTAAAGTAAGGTAGAGTGTATTATTATATATATTTTTTGTATTATTTTTCTATTATATTCCTTAAGATAACTATAACTTTTTCTCATTTCTGTTTTCCTCAGGTGGCGAAGGATGTTTCCATCCGAATCCATAGCCAGTTGGACAGCGTGGAGAAGAAGAGGAGTCGGCTGGAGCAGGAGAACGAAGAGCTCCGAGTCCGGCTGCAGGACCTGGAGGTCGCCAAACAAGTCCTGCAGCAGGAGCTGGACAAGGTCAGATTAAAAAGTTTCCAGTGGTTCAGATCAAAAACTGCTGTTTATATGCATGCAGGCGAGTGTTTTGATAAAGGACAGATTTAAGAGCTGCTGAGCTATTTATGGGACATTTCCTGTTAAGATGCATTATACGACTACAGTTCAACGTCCATTAGAGATCTGATCTAAACATTTTATTTAAACACTCGCAGCTCAGGAGGATCGTGATTTATCCTCCAGTTCACTTAGGTCTCTGTAAACTCTGTTTGTTGTGCCTATTTTGTCTCGGAGCCTCAGGGGATTCTGTCTCACATCTCATCTTGTGCTCATTTCATCTCTGCCTCTCTGCCATCGCTCGGGGGAATTTTTTTACTTAACCAAGTGTGTCCAGGAAAACACAGCATTGAAAACTAAAGTGGTAACTTGGATGTCGAAGCAAGCCAAAGTGAAGACGAGCAAAATCCAATTGATGTCATGCTCCGCTTGATGAGATTTATTCTGCCAGACTTCCTGCTTTTGTTTCCGTTCAGTCTGAAATTTTCAGACTGAAGGCAATTTGTCACCATGTTCTTATTCTCATCGTTTTTTTCTGCTCAGTGTCCCTTTCCCACAATCTATACTGGCCTGATGGGCCTTGCTGATGTGGGTCAGAATTGGATGGTTGGGTTTCTGGCAGCTGATCCTGGGTTTGGCTGCTTTTATCTGGGTGAACTGTGTGTTCCCACAATACATTCATAAAGTTTCCTCTTGTTTATGGATGCGGGGTAGCCGAGAGGGATGTGCAACACACACATTTCATTTCACACACACGCCTTCATTTGATATTTTGGGGATCTCCCAATAACAATTTTGACTATATTTTCATTGCAGGCCTTTTTACCCCCTCACCTTTACTGCATTGGTCACTTATTAGCAAAGTTTTGTGTCTTCTATTGATTATGGAAAGAAGCCAGATGTGCTTTGCCCAAACTCTAAGCTAATTCAACAGCATTTTTCAGTGTGGATGCAGTTAACAGTGCACAGACAAAGCTTCCAGAAACAGTACTGCGTCATAAAACCAGTGCTTTGTCTTTGAACATTATTTCTCTCAAGAAAACTTGCTGATACTCTGGATCGGATCTGTATTCTTTGCGATTGACTGCCGAGTTTCTATTTGGATTTTTACCAACAGGCATTAGCTAGTTACCATCCTTTAATCTTTGTTTTTAAAAGCTTTTAGTTTGTGCAGAATAAAGTCGTGTTAGATATTTTACGAGAGCGTACACATTTAAATCCCTCACCAAATCAATGTAATACTGCATTGTATTACATCCTCCCTGTAGTACTTATCTTATCTAAAGCTGTCCATGCACATTAAGCAGCTTCATCAAAGCCAGTGTGCTCTAGTTATTTCTGTCTTGTCGTGTCTTTTTGTTGACTAACTAAATGACTAAATGTTTTCTGGCTCTTTGCTCACTGTGTGTGACGAGGCCGTTTCATTCCACACGTTGGTTTATTGTCTGTTGAGCAAACGTCCAAAATCCCTTCCAAGAAGGAGGCGCTCACCCTCCTTACCCTGACAATGATGATTCAGAGTTTTGTTCAGGCTCATCCGCAGTGGAAATTCTCACTCATCCGTTTTTCGCCATTTGGACACAGTGCAGCGACAGTGCTCTGCAAAAAGCATTCAGCTGCTCCACATTTCTTCTCATCGGAAACCTCAAATGTCAAAGTATTTTGTTGGGACTTAATCTGATAGAGCAACATAACGGAATCAGAAGAATAAATATACATAGTTCAAAGTGTTTCATGCATTTGTTCTGAGATTTTTTTGGTAAAATTGACTTTTTTTTTAAAGAAATTTGTGAATAGCTTAGACATATTAGTTGAAAAGTATCTCTGTCTGAGCCCTGCCTCTCATACTCAATTTTATTTCTACATGAACATTGACTAGGCCATTCTAACATAACATTTTTTATGAAATCTAAACTATCCATTGCAGCCATGACTGTATTTTTAGGGTTGTTGTTTTCTGGAAGATGAAGCTACGCTCCAGTCTGAAGTCTCAAACAGGTTTTGTTCCTGTAGTGTTGTGTTTTAGTGCCACCCATGTTCCTGTGAACTTTGAGCAGGGTCCAGGTTTCCCCCTACTGCCATATTGTTTTACTGTGCAGGCTGAGCACACATGGTCTTTTACATAAAGCCTTACTTTTGAATTCTTCTTCCACATGTTTGTCATGTCCCCAAAACCACAAACAGAACTTCTTCTCTGATTAATGATCCTGTCCAGTTTGGTTCAGTTTAAGCGACCAATGGCTGCTGGGTTTGCTCCTCCTTGCTCTTTCCATTTTCAGATAATGACTGGAACAGAGCTCTGCGACGCTTAAAGCTTCAAATATTGTATTGTAATCTAACTGCATTCAGTTTCTCAATAACTTTCTCCCAGACCTCCGAGATCTTTCACAAAACTGGAGTTAGATTTGTGGTTATAATGGGACAAAAGGTGAAACATTTCAAAGGGTGTGATCATGGCACAATGCAGAAACTATGACTAATTAAGGCAAGACAACAGAGATATGTTTTGGAAATAAAGAGAGATGAAGTAGATACACAGAGATGAGTGTGGTAAGGATAAGCAGACCGGTTCTGACCCACGTAAACACAAGTACCATGTAAACACTCAGACAATGGCGCTCCTAAACTTCACAGTGGTTAGACTGGTTGTTGAATTATTGACTATGTGGTAGCTGCAGCCCACAGTCTGCATTGATATCGATATTCTTTAAGAAGCAGAGGCGCATGCTGCGCTGGAGCTGCACCTCTATGCTGCAGGCTGTGAATATTATACTTGGAGCAGGACAGACTGTAACAAAAGAAGAAGAGGTCTGTCTGCAGGTTTTGATGAATTGGCTCTGAGAGGGAGTCCACAGGAAGAGGATTCCTCTGCCGGGCTGGACTGTGATTGGAACAGGTTCTGCTGCATCTTTCATGAGGATCAGTTTAGATTGTTGGAGGATTTGAGTCGCATGATGCAAAGAGGATTTCAGGCTCCTTGGAGAGCCATCAAACATTTCATGTTTACTCAAAACATTGTGACTGTGGCTGCATATGTAATGAAAGGAAGTCTAAGTGCTTTGTTTCAGATTTCTGAACACTGACCTTTAATGCACATGCCTTGTAAAACATACATTATCAATAATGAATTCAATTAAGCTGACATTGTTCGCTGCTCCTCATTTTCTTTGCCCCTGTTTTCCTTTCCTCCCACCATTCATGCACAGCTCCCCTCCTGTGTTCTTTTAATTTATTTCTCCCCATTTATTATCACCTCCCATTCTCTCTCCCTCTCCTCTTCCTCCCATCTCTCCCTCAGAGACGAACGGGGAATGCTGATGCAAGAGTTTTATTTTCTCCCCTGAAATCCTTTCCTTGTCCGTCTCCTCCTCCAGCCGGACTTCACCTTCAATACTTCTGTCAGACCAAGGCTGCCACTCACTCATTCCCCTCTCTCTCTCTTGTTTTCTCATCCGTTCACTCTTCCTGCTCCCAAACCATTGATCCGTTCAGCTGCGGGTGACCTTTGGAGGTGGGAAGGTTGCGCTTGATGATGGGATGGATGCACTTGAGTTCCACAGGGATGGAAGCAATAAGGGACGGACTTACTCTAAAGATGGTTGACGGAAAACAGATGATAGGACTTAATAGAGGCATGTGTTCTTGGTATTTTGTCCTATGAATCTGAAGAAGCCCAATAGAAACATTCAAAATGATACTGATAGAGAAGGTCAAACTGAATTTTGATTTTAAAGTTAAGAAAGAAAATGGTAACACCGTCAGCTTGGCTCTGGTTTGTTTCGGGTCGGGTTTTGTTTACGACTAACGCCTCTACTTCTCTGATTCTTTGTGTTGTCCACATGCTATGTGTGTATTGTAAACACACACAAGACTTTCCACAGAGTCTACTTATTATGTAAACAAGTAGGTGATATGCTGGTAAGATCATTTTGAAATGATTTAGTGCATTGAGTTGAATTTCTTTCTTTGTTTCTTCGTGTATATAAAGCTATCTTGTCCTTTGGTGTGAACTGATGCTACTGAAATGAGTGAGAATCAGCTGAATTAATCAGGATATAAATGCTATGTTTCATGGTTTGTATTGTTGACATGATTCACTGTTTGTGTTTTATAAATGCTGTCTCTTTCCCCAGTCCACTGTCAGTTCTGTGTTTTAATAGATGACTCAGACTCAGTAGCAGGACCAGATCAAACGCGTTTGATTTATAGCTTGAAAAATACGCCGCATACTGACTGTCATTTGTTTGTTTTAGCTGCAACCTCTCCTTAAATCGAGTGAACGGAAATTTGCACAGAGAAAAATGAGACCAGAAAAAAAGCACCTAAAGTAAGACGGATGGAAGAGAAGCAGCTTGGATAACTGAGAAATTATAGTGAAGAAGGATGGAGAGAAAAGGAAGAAAAATTATAGATTCAAAAATAAAAGGGAAAAAACGCCCAGAAATGCTGGGACTGAACCATGTGGGGGTTGACAGAGGAGATATCTGCCCAAATTAGAAAAAAAAATACTTTAATGAGTACAGGGTGAGAGGAGGGGAAATTACAGCGATTCCCTGTCTCGTCTTATTTTCTTCCTCTCTCCTCTCCAGCTGTTCTCTTTCTCCCTTTGTTTCTCTCTGCTGATTTACAAAGCTAATATTTCCCCTGAAGGTCATTCAGGACCCCTCCTCTTTATCTGTACATCTGAACGACTTGGTGATGTAGAATGAATCAGCTCAAGGTGGCAAGCAAAAGGCAACAGACAACATGGATATTTTTATGCTTGAACAGTATTTACTGGAACAGTACATTAGCTTTCTGGTTGAAAACTCCTGCCATCATGTTACCTCATGCTGTCCTTGGGGAAAAATTGAAGCAGAAAAAAAAATCAAATCTGTAAAAATCAACTTTACACCTGAAGGCAGCAGCTCAGGAGTGAACGACTCCAGATATTTCTTTCGTACCTTTCAGTGTGTGTGTTTTTT